TGATTAATGAAAGGTTATCTTAGGACATTAAAAGTTGCTTCCTTTATATGTAATTCTAAATAAATGCAAATATGCCTATAAAAACTGAAAAAGACCAAATGGGAAACAGCAAGTTTGCACGTATCTCCATAAGGACACAACAAACCTTCTTGCCAAATTTGGTAAAGATCCATTTACAGGGAGCTAAGTAGTAGTAAAAAAATGCCCATAAAAACTGCAAAATGTAAAACTGAAAATTTTTAAGTATCTCCCCATGGGTCTAATGAACCTCCATACCAATTTTGTTGAGGATCCCTGCAGAGTGGTTACATGAACATACAACAGACAGTACTATTATATTTATATAGATATTAAATTAATGTGGAAACTATTGTTTTCATAATTTACCCTACACATACAGCAATTGTTTGTGTTGAATCTATAATCCTACTGAATCTGTAGTTTTAATATATAATATATGTAAATATGAGGAACATCCATACCTTAACATTGAAATATTAGAGTGAAATATAACTAGAAAGTTGTTTAATTTCCAGGTATATGTACATTGTAAATTTTACAGATAGAATTCGTGAGTCTTTGAATGAGATCTACTTAATGAGTAATGTGTAAGTATGTTATTTCTGTGTCCTCATGAGCAAATTTTCAATGTTTATTTCATTACTGTATGAAAAACATTTTGTAAAATACTAAACTTAATATTAAGGTTATTTTTTTAAAACTACATTATTATCATAGGAATATAATTATATATACAAAGTAAGATAGTTCTGCCTATGATAAATATATCAAAAATAAACACCACCAAATGATTTCAATGTAGTGGTGGATAGTGTTTGAACTCATTTCAGTTTTTTATTAGACAGTTGAAATAAATCTTTTAATTTAATGGCCAGTACAATGTTTTATTTGTTTTACAATTTCTAGAGTAGTGTCAGAACTCTTGACAAAGATACGAGAACACATGGGTTGTTTATACAAACTAGCTGAAGCTGTATCAAGTCTAGACTTCCTGGTATCCTTAGCTCACCAGTGCACCATGTCTACTTATGGTAACTCCTTGTATCCTTATCTCACCAGTGTACCATGTCTACTTATGGTAAATCCTTGTATCCTAAACTAACCAGTGTACTGTGTTTATACAAGCTGTGTCAACTCTATACTTCCCTGTATCCTTATCTCACCAGTTTACCTTGTCTACTTATGGTAAATACTTGTATCCTAAACTAACCAGTGTACTGTATTTATACAAGCTGTGTCAACTCTATACTTCCCTGTATCCATATCTCACCAGTGTACCATGTCTACTTATGGTAAATCCTTGTATCCTAAACTAACCAGTGTACTGTATTTATACAAGCTGTGTCAACTCTATACTTCCCCGTATCCATATCTCACCAGTGTACCATGTCTACTTATGGTAAATCCTTGTATCCTAAACTAACCAGTGTACTGGTCTAGACTTCCTGTTATCCTTATCTCACCAGTGTACTGTATGTATACAAGCTGTGTCAGGTCTAGACTTCCTGTTATCCTTATCTCACCAGTGTACTGTATGTATACAAGCTGTGTCAGGTCTAGACTTCCTGTTATCCTTATCTCACCAGTGTACTG